GGTTTTTGCAAGATTTTCGAGTTCTCGCCTTTTCAGTTTCCCGACGCTCCGCGACGGCCCAAGAGGCCCCAGTGTCCGTTCCAAGACAGCCCCAGAGGCCTCGAAGACGGTCACAAGACAGCCCAAGAGGGCCCCAAGACGGCGCCAGAGGCGCCCAAGACTCCCTGAGAGGACCCCAAGACGGCCTCAAGAGGGGCCAAGAGGGGTAACACGAACCGAAAATTCGAGCCTTCCACCGAGAGAGGCTCCGAGAAGATCCCCAACAGGCCCCAAGAGGCCCCAATAAGCTCACAAAGGGGCCGAAGAGGTTCCAAGAGGCCTCCCAAGGCCCCAAGAGGTACAAATTATTGTCTTGCTATAGGCTTTTGATTGATTTTCGAGGTTTCAGCCTTTGGACATCCCGACGCTCCACGACGGCCCAAGAGGCCTCCAAGACCGCTCCAAGATAGCCCAAGAGACTTCCAATAGGGCCCCAAGACGGCCCACAAGGCCCCAAGACGGTGCCTGAGACGCCCTAAGCGGCCCGAGAGGATCCCAAGACGGCCCCAAGAGGGGCCCATGCGGGGTAAGATGAACCGAAAATCCGAGCCTTCCGATAGGCTCTCAGGAAGCGCCAAGAGGCCCCCAACAGGTTCCAAGAGGCCCTCAAGAAGCTCTTCAGAGGGCCGAAGAGGTTCCAAGAGGCCTCCCAAGAAGGCCCGAAGAGGCACAACTCATTGTTTTCTCATCGTTTTTGACGGATTTGAGAGTTTTCAGCCTTTTGGCATCCCGACGCTCCGAGACGGCCCAAGAGGCCCTCAACACATCTCCAAGATAGCCCAAGAGGTCTCCAATAGGGCCCTAAGACGGCCCACGAGGGCTCCAAGACGGTGCCAAGAGCGCCCAAGACGGCCCGAGAGGCCCCAAGACGGCCCGAGAGGTCCAAGAAGGGGAACGCGAACCCAATTGGTCCGACGAGGCCCCTAGAAGGCCCCCAGGAGACGTACAAGAGGCCCCAAGATAGCCCAACAGTGCCCTCGATGCATCAAAACTGCCTCTAGAAGGTCCCTGGGAGGCTTCCGGATTGCTTCAATGTGGCCCCAGGCGGCCTCAAGTCGGGCCTCCACGCAGCCAAGACGGCCAATGACGGCTTCAGATTGCAGAACAGCACCTTCCGACTGTCCGGAGAACCCCGACGATGCCCCCAAGGGACCCCAAGAAGCCCCAAGACGCCCCCCCAAGAAGCACCCAAGAGGTGCCTCCAACAGTCAATTGAGGAAGCACGAGGAACCCCCCACAAGCCTTTCAGATGCCCCCACGAAGACCCAAGAGGTCCCCAAGAGGCCCTCAGGAGGCACGACTAAGTCACGCGTCTGTGCTTGATGGCGCTGTCCAAGATCTTCCAGCGCCCCCCCAGCCTTGGCTAGAACCTGAGCGCGCGCGAAGCGCGTTCGATGGTCCTAGTGTATATGTGCATACACACATCTATATATATGTTATGTACTTAATTTCCTGGTTGTTTTGTGTATGTTTCTCTACAGTTTCCTGTCTCTTTCTCTTTGTGTGTGTATATATACACACTCCTTCCCCCGTTCTCTGTCTCTACCTCTGTATGCATAGTTTGATTGTTTTTTTTTTGTTTCCCTCTCTCTCTCTCTTTTTATTTTTCCCCCCTATCTCTCTTCCTCGCCCTCTCTTTCTCTGCTCTCATTTCAGTGTCAGCGCATCGGGCTCGCCGCGCGTGCACCCGTGGCCCACCCGTGGCGCAGCGCCTCCTCCCGCCGCCGCAGGTGATCCTCCGCGTCTGCGGCGCCTACGCGGGGCTGGCGGCGCTCAACGCGCCGCTGTTCAACGCCGCCGCAGAGGCCCGAGACCCGCCACGGGGCACGAGCCCCGAGCTGCTCCTCGCAAGAGGGAGGGCGAGGGCCCGAGAGGGGCCGAGGGCCCCCCCCCTCGGGCCACGGCGGCAGGGCTCTTCCGTGCCGCCCTCGGCCTCCGAAGAGGCCCCTGCCGGCCCTCGGGGCCCGCGGAGGAGCGGCTCGGGAGGCAGGGCCGGTGCCGGGGAGGGGGCCCAGCGACCCGAGCCACCCGAGCCCCAGCCTCGTGCGGCGGTCGGCGCCAGGGGCTCCCGGGCCTGCTTCCCGAGGCAGCAGCCAAGCTCGGCCAAGAGCAGGTCGGGCTCCCCCGCCGGGCAGGACTCGGCCAGGCTGAAGTCGGCCCCTCGGCCCCCGCTGCAGCCTGGCTGGCAGCTGGCCGAGTTCCGCCTGGCCGGAGTTCGGCTCGGCCGAGCCTTTCCCTGGCCCCTCCCGAGAGGCGCTGCTGGCATGCTGGCCGGCCGCTGGGCCCGGCCGGGGGCCGACGGCGGCGCAGGCGGCCGCTGCTGCGCGCGCGTTCGCGGCGCAGCGGGTGCGGCACGAGCGGCTGTTTCAGCGGCTGGGCGAGCTGTTCCGGGAGCGCGGCGCCTCGGAGGCCGCGTGGGGGGCCAGCCTTCGCCTCGCCCGCGCGGCGCCCTCGCAGAGTTCTCGCCCCCCGTTCCTCTGCCTGCTCAGCGGCGGGGGGACAGCGAGGACTCATCTGGCGTTGCCAAAAGGGGCTGGCCCAGGCGGTAGGGTGTGGCAGTTCCCTGTTCCCCGCCTCCCTTGGGACCCCTTCTCTTTGTTCGTTCTTTTTTGTTTGTTTGTTCTTTTTTATCCTCTTTGTTATGCTCCCAGGAGTTTCTCTGACCCCTTCCCCCCAGGCACGGTGAGGGGAAACTCATGAACAAATCACTCTGAGGTTATCCTTTCTTTTTGTTTGTTTTGGGGGGGGTATTCTGGCCACCCCAGGCTCTGAGGGGTGAGCCCCGACCCCCCGTCACTTAGTTTTTTTCTTGGGGATCCGTTGGTTTCAAAGGTTCCTCCAGCTCCCCCAGGCTTTGTTCCCAACCATCCTGTGGTGTTGGGTCCTCGTTCTGAAGAGACAGTCTCCGCGTTCCTCCTCTCTCTTCTCTCCTCCTCTCTCCTCCTCCTCCTCCTCCTCTCCTCCTCCTCCTCCTCCTCCTCCTCCTCCTCCTCCTCCTCCTCCTCCACTCCCGCTCCTTCCCTTACTCCCTCTTCCCTGCGTTTCCCCCACCCAGTACAACGTTTCATGGCCCCATAGGGAGCTCCACAGAAGGCCCCAGTGGGGGTGCCCGCATGTGTCCCCCCCCCCACCCAGTACAGCGTTTCGTGGCCGCATAGGGGGCTCCACCGAAGTGGGGGTGCCCGCATGCGTCCGCCATACCCAGTACAGCGTTTCGTGGCCCTATAGGGAGCTCCACCGAAGGTTCCAACGGGGATGCCCGCATGCGTCCGCCACACCCCTGTACAGCGTTTCGTGGCCCCATATGGAGCTCCAGCGAAGGTCCTAGTGGGAACGCCCGCATGCGTTTCCCCAACCAGTACAGCGTTTCGTGGCCCCATAGGGAAAAGGCCCCAATGGCACCGCCCGCATGCGTCTCCACAACCCAGCGCAGCGCGTCGTGGCCCCACGGGGAGCTCCACCGAAGGCCCCAGTGGGACCACCCGCATGCGTCCCCCCCACCCATGGCCGCACGGCCGATCACGCGCTGCGTGGCCCACCGGAAGCGGCACCCACAACTCGTTTCTCACAATTACTATCAAACACCCCGGTCACCTCCAAGTCCCTCCCGTGCCAGCATGGAGCGGCAGACAGGCCACTGGCCGATGAAGGCTCGCCCGGCAAGGCTGGGGCTGCGCATGGACAGTCCCGCCGAGGTGGATTACCTTCTTGAGGTGTCTGTGTGGGCAATGCTTGGGTGTGCGCCCGCTCCTTGCCAAGCCCCAGGCCACGTGTGGGCTTAACCCCCGCACGGAGGTGTTTGCGACTCGCGCCCCGCGGCCTCGCCCGCAGGGGCTCTCTCCTCCAGGGGTGCGGCGCGGGAGCGTTGGAGCCCCGGCCCTCCGTGCGCCGTGCCCGAGCGCAGTCGCCCCTTGTGGGCAGGCGCGCGACAGATGGCGTCCGCCCGCGCCTCCCAGACTCGTCGAGGGGAGCAGGGGCAGGAGACCCCGAGTCGTGACCCGGATGCTGCCGTGCATGTCCGCACCGAAGATGCACTGGCAGAAGCCGACCGTGCCGATGGCAGCCCATCTTGCATGGAAACAGCCAACAAACTTGAAGGGGCAGTCCCCGCGTTCCTCCTCTCTCCTCTCTCCTCTCCCCTCCTCCTCCCCCTCCTCCCCCTCCTCCCCCTACTCCCACCCAGTACATCGTTTCGTGGCCCCATAGGGAGCTCCACCGAAGGCCCCAGTGGAGGCTCCCTCATGCGTCCGCCGCACCCAGTACAGCATTTCGTGGCCCCATAGAGAGCTCCACTGAAGGCCCCAGTGGGGGTGCCCGCATGCGTCCCCCCCCCACCCAGTACAGCGTTTCGTGGCCCCATAGGGAACTTCACCGAGGGCCCCAGTGAGGGTGCCCGCATGCGTCCCCACCACCCAGCACAGCGTTTCGAGGCCTCACAGGGAGCTCCACCGAAGGCCCCAGGGGGGGGCGCCCGCCTGCTTCCCTCCACCCAGTACAGCGTTTCGTGGCCCCATAGGGAACTTCACCGAGGGCCCCAGTGGGGGTGCCCGCATGCGTCCCCACCACCCAGCACAGCGTTTCGAGGCCTCATAGGGAGCTCCACCGAAGGCCCCAGGGGGGGGCGCCCGCCTGCTTCCCTCCACCCAGTACAGCGTTTCGTGGCCCCATAGGGAGCTCCACCGAAGGTCGCAGTGGGGCTGCCCGCATGCGTTTCCCTCCACTTACTACAGCGTTTCGTGACCCCGTAGGGAGCTCCATCGACGGCCCCTGTGGGGGTGCCCGCATGCGTCCCCCCACCCAGTACAGCGTTTCGTGGCCGCATAGGGATCTTCACCGATGGCCCCAGTGGGGGTGCCCGCATGCGTCCCCCCACCCAGTACAGCGTCTCGTGGCCCCATAGGGAGCTTCACCGGCGGCACCAGTGGGGGCGCCTGCCTGCTTCCCCCCACCCAGTGCAGCGTTTCGTGGCCTCATAGGGAGCTCCACCGACAGCCCCAGAGGGGGTGCCCGCATGCGTCCCCCCCACCCAGTACAGCGTTTCCTGGCCCTATAATAGGGAGCTCCACCGAAGGCCCCAGTGGAGGCGCCCGCATGCGTCCGCCATACCCAGTACAGCGTTTCGTGGCCCCATAGGGAGCTCCGTTGAAGGTCCAATGGGGTTGCATGCATGCGTCCGCCACACCCAGTGCAGCGTTTCGTGGGCCTACAGGGAGCTCCACCGAAGGCTCCAATGGGGGTGCCCGCATGCGTCCGCCACACTGGCCCCATATGGAGCTCCAGCGAAGGTCCCAGTTTGACCGCCCGCATGCGTTGCCCCCACCAAGCTGTTTGAAACATCTCCCTTGGTACTTGCGCCACCCGCTGCTAGACGAGGCCCCGAGGCGTTCGGAGTCCGATCGGGAAAACACGGATCCAGGAGGGGATCCTTTTAAAAACATTTTTTTAACCTTCCGAGATCTCCCCCAAGGGTGTTTTTTTGGGGGGGTGTTCTGGGGGGAACCATTTTAAACTCATCCAGAAACACCTGAGTCTGGGGGGGCCCCCCAGGGGGAACCCCCCTGAACCTTCCAAAACCTTCCGAGGTTGGTTTTGGGAAGGGTCGGGGGGGAAGCCCATTCCCCAAACCCTCGAGGGCTTTTGTTGGGGGTCTGCGAAAGCACCGGGGGACAAAACGGCAATCAACACATAACACATCCATAACAACCTATGAGAAACCCTAGAAATAATTCCCCTGGCGAAGGACCCAACCATATGCAGTTGTGAGTAACGCAGTTGTGAATATCATCTTCGGTGGAGCTCCCTATGGGGCCACGAAACGTGTGAGGGGTGTGCCGAAGTGGGTGGGGGGGACGCATGTGGCACGTGGACGGTGGCACTGGGGCATTCGGTGGAGCTCCCTATGGGGCCACGACCCGTGTGAGGGGTGTGCCGAAGTGGGCGGGGGGGACACATGTGGCACGTGGACGGTGGTACCGGGGCATTCGGTGGAGCTCCCTATGGCCACGAAACGTGTGAGGGGTGTGCCGAAGTGGGTGGAGGGGACGCATGTGGACAGTTGCTCTGGGGCTTTCGGTGGAGCTCCTTATGGGGCCACGAAAAGCGTGAGGGGTGTGTCGAAGCGGGTGGGGGGGGCGCATGTGGACAGTGGCACTGGGGCCTTCGGTGGAGCTCTTTATGGGGCCATGAGCCGTGGGAGGGGTGTGCCGAAGTGGGTGGGGGGGGACGCATGTGGACGGTGGCACTGGGGCCTTCGGTGGAGCTTTTCATGGGGCCATGAGCCGTGTGAGGGGTGTACCGAAGTGGGTGGGGGGGGCGCATGTGGACGGTGGCACTGTGGCCTTCGGTGAAGCTCCCTATGGGGCCATGGACCGTGTGAGGGGTGTACCGAAGTGGGTGGGAGGGACGCATGTGGACGGTGGCACTGGGGCCGTCGGTGGAGCTCCCTATGGGGTCACGAAACGTGTGAGGGGTGTGCTGAAACGGGTGATGACGATGATGATGGAGGAGGGAGGAGGGGAGGAGGAAGGAAGCAAGGGGAATGCGGGGACCGTCTCTTCAAAACGAGGACCCAACACCACAGGATGGTGGGGAAAATCATACAAGCCCCGAGTGTAGGGTTCCACAGAGGGTTTTCCTGAGTTTGGATTCTGGGAGTTTCGTAAGAGTCCTCCGAGAAATACAGACGAACACGCATGCGTTTATTCAGTCGCTTTTTTTAGGGGGAGGGGGGGGGGGGTTGGTGGGCTTTCGGGTTTTTGTTTCTGCGCAATGCTGTTTTTTGAATCGTGGGACCCCAGAGACCCCCCCGAACCCCACGAGCTCCCCTCCCCCTCCCAGGGCTCCCGGGGGCGGGGCTGAGCGCCAGACCCCCCTCCACTCGGCTTGTGTCGGCTTTCCTCTGGGTTCCCCGGGGAGCCTCCAGGGACCCCCTCCGCGCCGGCCTCGGCCCACGGCCCCCCCCCCCCCCCAGGATGGACCTTGCCCTTTCCCAAGGTGCGTCCCGCTCGAGACTCCGGCCGCCGCCCGCCGCCCCCACCGCGGCGCCCTCGAAGCTCGTCCCTGGAGACCTTCGCTGCGGAAGCCTTGACTCCCCCTCCTCCTCCTCCTCCTCCTCCTCCTCCCCCTCCTCCTCCTCCTTCTCCTCCTCCTCCTCCTCCTTCTCCTCCTCCTCCTCCTCCTCCTCCTCCTCGCCCAACCAATCCCCATTCCCGCCGGGCCATGGCATCTCAGCCCCACCATCACCCCCCTTCCCCAGTTGGGGATGGAGGAGGAGGAGGAGGAGGAGGAGGAGGAGGAGGAGGAGGAGGAGGAGGAGGAGGAGGAGGACGAGGAGGAGGAGGAGGAGGAGGAGGAGGAGGAGGAGGAGGAGGAGGAGGAGGAGTGGAGGAGGAGGGTGGATGAGGAGGAAGATAGGCACACCCCCGAAGCTCGAAGGGAACAGCCTATCCAAGTGGCTTGCGCCATTACAGAGACCCCCCAGAAGGAACGAGTGCTTGCGTGAGTCAGGAGTTGAGTTTCTTGGGTGCGTGTGAGGGCTCGTGGGGTGCCTCCCAGTGGCCTCTTGGAGGGCTCTTGGGGCATCTGGGGGGCCTTTTGGGTCTTCTTGGGGGCCTCGTGGGGGCTTCTTGGGGACCCCCTGGGCGCCTCTTGGGGCCTCTTGTCAGCGCCTCGGGCGCGTCTGGGGGGCTCTTGGGGCTATCTTGTGGAGAGGCTCGAAAGGTCAGTTCGTGTTCCCTTCTTGGGCCCCTCGTAGGGCCCCCTCGGGGCTCTCTTAGGCCTTTTGGGGGACCTCTACGGCCGTCTTGGGGTCCTCTTGGGCAATCTTTGGGCCCCCTTGGAGGTCTCACGGGCCTTGTTGGGACGATCTTGGGAGCCCCTTGGGCCGTCTTGGGCGCTGCTAAGACGAAGAAAAGATGAGTATGTTAAAAATGTACGTTTCCCTAAGGGAATGGGGCAATGTTTGCCTCTTAGGACCCTCTCGGCGGTCCTCTGGGAGCATTCTCGGGCCGTCTCGGAGGCGCATGGGCCGCCGTCTCGAGGCCATCGTGGACCGTCTGGAGGCGCGTGCGCCGTCTCGACGCTCTCTTTTGGACTGTCTTGGCGCTCTGTCTGGGCCCTCGTGGGCCGTCTTAGGGTTTTTGGAAGCTCTGGAGACCCCGGGAGTGCGTTGGCGAGCTCTGCCCCCCACCCTCCCCCCCATTTAAACGGCATTTTGAACCCCAGGGGAGGGGAAAAGGCGGAGGGGGACAGCCAACTGTTTCACACGCCTTTTCACACCCGGCAAGCGGGGGTCGGCGGATAACCCCGTCCAGGGGAGTGCGGGTTCTTCAGGAAGCGGCCCAGGCGGTCGGGGCCACGAGGACACGAGAGGGCTTCCAGGCTGTGCCTGCGCTGCTCGGGGCCTCTTCGCCCGATGGCTCCATTCCCCGGAGCCCCGGTTCTCCTCTCTCCCGCCCCGCGCGAGGGAGGAGGAGGGGGGCGGGGGTCGGGCAGGCCTAACGTGAGGATAGCTCGCTCCAGAGCGTCCTGGAACGCCTTCAGAGCCTTCCGCACCGCTGGAGCGGCCGCGTCGCCCGGCACCCTCCGGACCTGCTGGCCCTCAGAGATTTCCGATTTACGGTCGGCAGCTTTTGGCTAGGGTGTCGCGGCAGTGGCCCCTGCTACACGCTTCGCCGTCCGAAACGACAGCGTGCCCTCCCGCCCCGAGCAACGGGGCACTGGGAAAATCTCGGGGCACTGACGCCTGGGGACTGACTGGGACGCTGGCGTGTCGCGCCGAGGCGTGGTGGGCCAGAACCGGCGGCGCGGCACGCTAAGCCAAAGTCCCCGTTCGCATCCCGCGCATCAAGGCTCTTGTTCCCAACCAACCTGTGTTGTTGGGTCCTCGTTTCGAAGAGACGGTCCCCGCGTTCTCCTCCTCTCCTCCTCCTCCTCCTCTCCTCTCCTCCTCCCCCTCCTCCCCCCTCCTCCCCCTCTTCCCTGCGTTTCACCCACCCAGCACAGCGTGGGTCCCTGGCAGTGCCTCTCGTTTTCTTCCGTGGGGGGCTCCTGGCAGTGCCGACCCTCTGCCCGGGGGGGCGGCCTCTCACCCCCTTGGAGTCGTCGTCGCACTCCGGGGCCCGGGCGAGGGCCTCCGGGGGGCCGGGGAGCGGCGGAAGACCTCTGCCTCGTTTTCTGTCCACACGTCGGAGGCCCGGGGTCCTCATACGACTCTATCTGCATCCTGCGGGGGTCGCGGGGACGATGTGTGTGTGTTATATATATATATATATATATATATATATATATATATATGTGTGTATATATATATATATATGGAAGCCTCGAATGTCGCCGATCATTGATGTTTTGGGCGTCTAGCGGTGGGCTGCTGGCGCGGGGCGCGTGCCGCTGTTGGCCGCCAGCTGCCTTCGCTATTTCCCGCACTCTGCTGCTATTGGGCGCCATTTGCCGCTGCTCTGCCAACATCTGGACTAAGGTAGGCTTCCATAAAAAGAAAAAAAGCACGAGCGTAAGACTGGTGGGCGGAGCGGACGCTCCCAGATCGGGTGTTGCTAGAAGTACCCCTGGCCCAAGGTACTCCCAGGATTCTGGGGGTGGCCCAGACGGCCTCCAGGGCACCCCTCCCGAGGCCCAGAGGGCCCCAGGGGCTCAAAAATGAAGCGAAAAGCTGGGGACACCTTGGGCCAGGGGCACTTCTAGCAACACCCGACCAGAGGCGACGCCGGGCGAGGCGCTGAGCTTGCTGCGCTCGCACGCGCTGCTGCGCCTGGGGGAGCAGCTGCACGACGGACCCGCGCCACGTGCGGTTGGCGCTGCAAGGGCAGCATGTGCGGTGTGGCGCCGCCTGCCCGCTTCCTGCACGCTGTCCCCTGCCTCGGGGACAGCGTGCACCGAAGAGGCCCCTGCACAGGGCTCGTTTCGACTCCTCCGATTCGATTCGATTCGGCTTCGATGGATTCCGATTCCGATTCGATTCGGCCTGGGGCTCCGATTCGGGTTCCGATTGCTCAGTGGAGGCATACTAGCCAGCCGATTTCCGCTGATTCGACTTTTCCCGACTCGGCTGCCGATGTCCGCCGATCCGATTCATTTCGATCGCCGATCCGATTTGTCGATCCGATTCTGGGCTCCCCTTCCTGCAGGGGGATCGCCACACATGGATGGCGTGCTCTTCGGAAGTCGATGCTGCACGCTATCTCTGCGACGCCAACGGTGTGATCTTTCCAGCCAGCGGCTTTTCTTCGATTTCGGCCCCCAGAGGCCGTTTTCGTGCCCTGGGGCCGCAGTAGGTGCTCGACCACCAGCAACCTTCCACAAGAAACCGAACCCTGAGATCCCAGGGCGTTCCATTGATTTTTGGTGTGGGAACGTCCGGTTTCCATAGCAAAACAGTCGGAACCCAAGAAACCCAGGGCACATTGGAGGCAAGCAGGGTGTTTCTTGGCATGGGTTTTCACTTTACCAACTGTGGATATTGGACGAAGATCGGTCCCCTGGGTAGCGGTCAGGACCCCTTGGGACCGCGGATTCAAGAAACGAGATCCGTCGGGATGTCAGGGTGTGAGGGCCTCGGATTCTGGCATGGGTGGGGATCCACGTCCTGTCGGCACGGTGGCTCCAATGAGCCCTCCCGCTCCTCTCTCCTTGCCTCTGCCCCTCCTCCTCCTCCTCCTCTGCCAGCCGTTCTGGCTTAGGCTGGGGTCAGAATGGCTATGCTGTTGCGGGCCTTCTTGGTTCGGCGATACCGCGTACATCTTCGGTTCATTTCGGTCGAGGGATCTCATCCTTCTCAGCCCACAGTTCTTGGATGGGTCCCGCGCCGTCTGGCGATGGCCAGGATCGCCCCTGGCGTACAGGCTGTCCATTTATGTGGACACCTACGTGAAGTGCAGCGCTTGCGGCTGCGGGAACCGAACGACGTTCTCTTTTTGCAAACACTGCTGTGAAGCTTGGGGCCGCTCTTGCGGATGCTCAACCCCCTGCTTCTAGCGGTGCTTGGTCGAAACTTTCGCCGTCACCGACGGTGGTCCCGCGGTTGCTCGCACACGCGGACTCCAATCTGGATTCTCTCAAGGTGGGGACGGTGGCGGCAAAGGGCGTGGCGCCAAGGGAGGCTTCTCCAGCTTCAAAGGCAAAGGCAACAGACTCGGTTGATGTTGCGTTGGTTGGTGGCCTCACCATCCTCCAGGGAGCTTATACAGTCCTGCACTACATCATGGGCCCTTTGGAGGAAGCGCTCCTGCAGGACTCCCTGCCGACCATGCAAACCTGTACGCTGAGGAGCTGGAAGCTTTCATCAAAGGTCACCAGCAGATTGGGGATACGTCGGCTGTACATCCCTACCGGTGTAAATTGGCCGCTTTGCAGCCTCCGCCAAATGAACCGTTGGATGAGCAGCTGGTGCGTTGCCGGAGAGAGAGAGAGAGAGGGTCAAGATTGCGAGAATATGTCCCATGGGTTCAAGCAGTGGGAGTCTGGGTTAAAGTGGCGACCCGCGAGCAGATCACTGGCCAGCTCAGCCGCGAGCTCGAGGACTTGGGTCGGGTACATGATGAGCTTTTGGAGAAGTTGGTTTCCCAGCAGAAGAAGGCAGAGGCGAACGTCGGCAAGCCTTCTGTCGCCCTCGCGGACCTCTTGTCTGGAAACGTGGACTCTTTCGAGTTGGACACGGGTGATCTCTCGGACCTTGGCCCCGGATGCGGGTCCTTGGGGGAATCGAATTGGGGGGGGGGGCACAGGCGCAAGGCGCAGCTGCTGTCGGGGACCAGCTCCATGGCGAAGGAGCTGTTCTCCCAGGCCGTTGAGTCGGTGCTTCGCGTCAGGAGCAGGCGACGAGACTGGCAGGCAAGAAACGTTCTGGCGAAGGCGGAACCCTTCCTGGTGCTGTTCCAGCGCCACCAGCGGCTGTGGACGGGGGGTGTGAGGCACGGGGCTCGGCAGGTGCGGCGAGCACTGGTGCGGCGGCTTCCTCGACGGAGGCTGAGTCTCCTCAGGAGGGAAAGAAACACACAGACACAATTAATCGGCGATTCCCAGAAAATATGGGAAACTATTGGAAGTGGAGGGGAAGACAAAACCCCAGAAAATATGGGAAAATATGGGGATATCTTTATTTGTGTATATTTATTTGTGTGTCCCAGTTCCCCTTCAACTCCATTGGCGTCTTCTGAATGCCCTGAGGCGCCTCTGGTCCAGATGCGCGCTTAGGCTAAGGCCAGGGTCTTGGCAGCCAGTCGGCCGCCTGCGTGCAGGGAGCCCCCCCCCCGCTCTGCACATGTCGGCGTGTGTGGGTGGGATGGTGTGGAGTGTGTGTGTGTGTGTGTGCGTGTGTGTGTGCGTGTGTGGAGTGTGTGTGTGTGTGTGTGTGTGTGTGTGTTTGTGTGTGTGCGCGCGCGCGCGTGCGTGTGTGTGTGTGTGTGTGTGTGTGTGTGTGTGTGTGTGTGTGTGTGTGTGTGTGTGTGTGTGTGTGTGTGTGCGGCGTCGGGATCTTTTGCCGGGCTCTGTTACTTTGCAGTCCTCGGAAGCCAGGCTCAATTTGAAGTCTCCTCGGCCTGGAGAGGAGCAGCGTTGGCCCCGCCCCCTCATCGATCTGGAGATGAGCACCGTGTACCCAGAGGGGCTTTCGCTCCGAGTCATCCAGCAGTCCTGCCCCCCCCCCCGATCCAGTGGAATAGTTTGCTTTTGATGGCTGAGACTGTGCATGGGATTGCCTGGCCTTCGGTCAGGGAATGGTTACCGTGCGCAATCTCCAGCCTGGAGGCCCCATTGGCCGAGCTTCTCGGTGGTGTGTCAACAACGGTCGGAAGTCTCCTCGGGTTCCTAGGGGCCTTCGTCTGGGGGGGCGGGGGCCTTTCGTCTGGTGTAGCTGTGCTCTCCGGGGCCCGGATGGGCCTGCGCGCCCCTCAGACTGGGGTCGCCGTCTGGCTTCGTCGGACTGAGGTGGCAGTGGTCCAGCCTCCCGGCGGTCAGTCGATCCTGTTCTCTTCCCTCTTTCTCGAAGACTCAGCGGGCAGTGCTGATCAGAACTTTGAAGTGTTGGGCGCCGTGGGCTCGGGGCTGCCTTCCGCGGGGCTTCCACTCGTGTTTTGGAGGTGGCTTCAGCAATGAGCTCGGCGCGATTTTGGACGCAGGGTTGATTTGCAACCTGCGGGGCCAGCTGGTCTCGCCAGGGGGAAGCCCTCCCTCGTCCCCGTGGATGCCCTATTCGTGCCCGAACATGAACCTGCGTCTTTCGCGCGCTGCTGGGCTCTTTTGGGCGCAGCCCAGCGTTGGCACCCAAATTGGGCATTTCGATTCTTGACTCCCTGTTGGAAGTGGCCTGCACGTCGTGGGCCGGCGCCTCGGATGAGGCACTTTGCGATGTAATGGATTGTGCCCTCCCCTCCTCCTCCTCCTCCTCCTCCTCTTCCTCCTCCTCGTCCTCCTCCTCTTTTTCGTCCTCCTCCTCTTTTTCCTCCTCCTCCTCCTCTTTTTCCTCCTCGTCCCCCTCCTCCTCCTCCTCGTCCTCCTCCTCCTCCTCGTCGTCGTCCTCCTCCTCTTTTTCCTCCTCCCCCTCCTCCTCCAGGCAGAGGGGCCGCCCTCTGGTGGCGCCCCGTCACTGGGCGGGACCTCTTGGGCCCCTCGGCGCCCAGAGCTCCGCGGTGTGAGATGGCGCAGCTCGCCATTCCAATGTTATGTCGGGTCTGTTCCCCTACAGGGGGACTTTCGACGAGAAATAACAAATACCCCAAACATACCCCCAAAAGGTAAAACAAATACCGGAACAAATAGCCCCTGGACTGTTTTTGGATTTTTTTGTTGTTGTTGTTGCTATTTTTGGGGAATTTGAATTTTTCGTCGAAAATCCCCCTGTAGGGGGACAGGCCCGACTTAATTCCAATGCTCTCTCTCCTCAGAACTTTCGGGCTCGGGAGCTGCTGTGCTGCATGCCGCTTCTGTGCGCTCCCTGTGCCAGGCCCTGGCTTCACCGCCGTCGCTGGTTCAGGACAGCCGAGGTCAGTTTCTTCCGGCTTCTCAGCGCTCGCTGCCTTCGCCGGACGTCGGTTTTACGAGGGCTAGGAGCAGTGTGCATGTGCTTTCGCTGCCGAGGTGGAAGAAGTCTCGGACACTGTCCAGGACGCCCTCGACAATTGCGATGCTCGGCGTGCCATTAATCGTCAGAAGGGTTTGGCGTCCTGGCTGCTCGAGGGGATCAACCGAGGCGCCGGGGTGCCCGCCCGATTTCTCGGGGCCCTGGGGCCTGGATGCCAATCTGGCATCTGGAGCAGGGTCGGGTCTGTGTTGGCGGACCCCTCGAAGCCCCTGGAGGCTGAGAGATCCAAGTCTGGTAAGCTGTCGGAAGCCAGTGCGTCCCCGCCTAGGCTGAGGGTGCGGATGCAGGCTCCCTTCTCCCGGCTGCCAGGCGCTCCGAGGGGTGAGGTCGGCCGTCGGCCGGGATGACTTCCGCATGCGGCGCCGCCATTTTTTCTCGGGCGCCTCCCCTCGATCGCCGGGAATGCTCTGGACCGCGGTGCGGAGGGCTGCCGGTGTGCTGCCCCGCGGGCCCGTCGGTCCCTCGCCGTGGAGGGGTCGTGCCAGAGTGATCGGCCCTCGCCGGGCGGCGGGGAGGCGCAAGTCGGCCGCCGGCGTGGTCTGGGGGCCGGCCAGCAGAGCCGAGACGGGCGCGACAGCAGGACAGGACGCTGGCCCCTCTTCTGAAGCATGCCTGAGTTGTGCGAGCAGCTCTCGAGGTCGCGGGCTTCGCTCCGATCGGGTGGTGCCGTCGGTGTGCCTCGCTGCCTGCCGATGTGCTCGCTGCGTGGTGCGGTGTGGAGGGGCTTCTTCCGCCCAGTCCGTCTCGGGTGGTGTGGTCGCGGGGTGCTTGATGCCCGCCGCCCTGCTCGCAGTTTTCGGCATCGAGGCTTGCGATGTGTGTCCGGTCGCTCCTAGCGCCACCGTAGACGTTCGCATCGGCGATGTGGGTGTGTTCTGTCGGCGCGGCGGCTTTCGATGTGGTTTCCTGTTCAAGAGAGTCCACGGAGGCCCTCCGCCACGCCATCGCTGTCATGGTGGGGGCCCAGATGTCGATGGATGGCGTTGCCTGTGCTGCGTCTTCCGAGGTGCTCTCGTCCCGCGTGGAGGTTGGGTTTGTGGGCCTTTTCGGGGCCCCGTCGCGAGGCTACTGTCGACCGTGGAATCGCTCGCGCTGCTGGGGCCTCTCGACGCGCGCGTGGCCGCAGTGCCACGGCGAAGTCTTGCCCCTCAGCTTCGGGAGTGTTAGGCAGGCGCGCGGCTAAGGTTTTTATTGCTGGGCCCTTGGCGGGTCTGCAGCGAGGGTCGGAGTTCCACTAGGTGTCGGATGTGGAGCTGCTCTCGGGGGGACGGGGCCTCGCGGTTTTAACACGTCTGGAGCACGGTCCAGCTTGGCGCGGATCTGTGGCGCCAGTTGTCACGTGTTCTCGGGAGCTCTGGCCAATGCGTGCGAGTGCTTCTCCGTGGTGGTCGTCGCGGTCTGGGATCGAGGGGCTCGTAGGCGGCTGCCTGGGCGGCCCCGCCCAGGACCTGGAGATCTGCCGACGGCCCCATGGGCGTTGCCTTCTTGCCCCTCAATCGCCTCGACTAGATAATCCCTGATCCTCATACTTGCGTGGGCGAGAGCGGCGCTACCAATTTTCTGTTTTCCTTTCAGGCCTTCATTTTTTTCAGCAATTCAAACGCAAGGCTCGCTTGGCGTTGAAGGTCAGCATCGTTTTCCTGTGCCGTGCTGTGGCGTGCGAGGTCCCTGCGGCCATGGAACGCCCCGAGAAGCCCATTGACCCCCCGACGCCCGTCGTGTTGGAAGTTGCTCGAGTTTCTCAACCTCTTGTCGCTTCCATGGGCTAGGAGTTTCCGCCTCGATCAGTGCATGTGGTGGGCCCCACCATGAAACCGACCCGAGAAGCCACCGACCATCTCCCGTCCGTCGAGGATGTTGTGAGCATTTCCAGGAATGGCGGCAGACGTGCTCACGGTATGGAGGGCGCAGTGAGTCTTGAAGGGCCGAACGGAAGCCAGTGGCTGGTGCACTGCTCCCGCCAAGTGCTACCCTCCCAACATGTGCAACCCTGTCGCCGTAGATTTTATCCAGGACGGTCTGTCCCAATGGCCGAAGATGTGGGGCTTCTCTCTGCTGGAAGTTCCTTCTGACGTAACGATTTTTTTGGTACCGTCTGATCCTTATCTGTCCCGTGTTGTGGGGAGGAATTGCGCTGATAGGGATCTGATCGAGCTTCCCCACGTGGGGCACTGAAGGGGCTCGAGTAACCGAACTGTTGCCGCCCTTTGGGGTCGGGACATCCCTCCTCTTCTTTTGGCGTGGTGTCTCTAGGTGCACGGCTTGCCGGCGCGCCTTTGCGCTCGTTTGTCCCCTCCGCCTTCGCCTCTGCTGTCGCTTCCCAGGATCGGCTTCATAACCACTCAGTGGCCTCTGATCTAAGAAAGGAGGAGCAGGAGCAGTGAGGAGCAGAAGGAGGAGGAGGAGGAGGAGGAGGAGGAGGAGGAGGAGGAGGAGGAGGAGGAGGAGGAGGAGGTGGATAATGAGCAAGAAGGGGTGCTTGTGATGGTGATGGGGTGGAAGGCGAGGAAGAGAACGAGGAGCACGAGCAGGATGGCAAGGAGGGGCATCGGGCCCCTTGTGCTCAGGACTCTGGGAGTCCCTCGAGGCGCAGGCGCTTAGCCCGGGCCTCCAGGAACTCGGGCCCGGCCCGATCTCCGAGCTGTGCCACGCGCTGCTCGTGGCTGGGCGCGCCGACGCGAGGCTGCAGGACATGCAGCGGATGCTGGAGGCTGCGGGGCGCTGCAGCGACGGGGATCGCAGGGGAGGGCTCCGATGCCGCTGCCCTGGCCTCGTTTGTGGCGCTGCCCTGGCCTCCTGGGAGGCCCTCGTCGCCGACGCCGTGTTCGCTCCGAAGCTCTGTTCAGAACGCACCGCGGGGGAGGTCTGGACAGCAGCGGCATCGGCGTTTTTGTTCCCCTCCCTCCCTCCCTTTCCCCTCCCACCTCTGTCCTCCTCCCCTGCCCTTCCCTCTCCTGTCCCCCCTCCCCTTCCCTCCCCCTTCCCTCCCCTCGCCCTCGCCCTCGCCCTCGCAGGAATCGGGGGGCTCGAACGTGGACAATATGTACAGTGAATGTCACTTCCTGGTCAGCCGCTGCAGAGTTTCTTGCGTCTCGACCCCCGTTCGACGGGATCAGTTTCCAGGAGCTGCTTGATTCCGATGAGTATGTTCCTAACGTTGTGGCCTCTGCTAATGCGCTCGGCTCTCATGCACTCGTGAACGCCTCTGTGATTGCAGAGGCCGGTGGACTGTCAGCAGGTGTTGCTATCACGTCTCCATGGGCCACGGGTCTTCTGCGGATGGATCTACATCATCTCCTTGCGCCGCCGCCTGAACGATTTCTTGTTTCTCAGTGGTTTGGAATATACCCTGGGGGTGTTCCGTGGATCACGCCGTATTTGCATTCTGGCGAGGGTGCGTCTGAACGCAATGTACACATCTTGATGCAAGTAGCCGCTATCATCCAGGCCATTGGCAGGCCGTTAATAATATCAGGAGATTGGAATCTGAGTCCGACGCAGTTGGCTTATCTGAACTGGCTGCCTCTCGTACGCGGTGTCTTGGCTGTTCCGCCTGGTAACACGTATCACTCTGGGGATGCATCTTCTTTGTTGGATTAATTTGTTCTTCGTGAAGCGTTTGCAGGAGAGTTTACGCTTTCACTGTACCCCACCCTCCTGGTCACCGAGCACACTCCAGTTAGGCTGGCGTTCAAGGCGACCCTCCTGCAGAAACATGTGCAATGTGTCGTGCGCCCTGGTCGCTTACCTGTGGATCGGCCGATGGGATGTGCCCCGTGTCCCCCTCTCTGGGAAGAGCTCCAGGACCGCCTTGAAGGCCATCCATCAGCAGACGTGATGAATGATGCCATGATTTGTTTTCTTCGAAATTCTGCCCGTGAGCTTTCTGGCATATTGCAGCAAGAGGTCGATGAAAGCAAGTGGGGACGGCCATTTTGTACACGATGGATCCCGGCATCGAAGATGTGTTCAAGCTCGCTGCGCTGCGGTTTTGAGGGCCATTTGTGGCGATATTTGTCGCAAAGGTCATTGCAAGTAGTTTTGCTTCGCAGCCAGGGTCGACTCCGCGATGCGCATGATGTCTCGCGTCGTCTGCAACGGTATTGGCCGAATCCTCGCGAGGGCCGCCCGCCTTCGCTGTGGCCATGGTGGCGCCCTATCGTCAAGTCGCCGAATTTGGTGACAGCTCCGGATTTCTGGTTCCAGGAAAGTGCGGCGCAGTTGGACGTCATCGCCACGCAATTTGAGCCGAGTGCTGCAAAGTCTCGTGTCGATTCCTGGTCCACGTGGGCGGTGAACGCTGTCAGCATGCCAGGTTCCTCGCTAGCGCATGCATACGTATGTGGCCCTGTCACGTGGACACATTTCCAAGTGGATCCCAGCCTGGACATGAAACATCCGCAGGGCAGTCCACAACATGTGGAGTGCCATGAAAAGTATTGGGCATGATATCTGGGGGGTCTCTTCAGAGTATATTCATCCTGCTTGGCCCCCTCTGGATATGCGTTTCTTGGAGTCTTTGCGTTTCCCTACGCCTGCTGAGCTTCGTCGCGTGGCCTTGAAATACAAGAAGCGCACGTCTGTCGATGTAGTCCACCTGCACCCGCGGCATTATGGATTTCTCTCTGACGAGACGCTCCAATGTTTGATCACGCTGTAGAGGTGGATGTTGACTTTGGGGAGTCCTCCTGAAGTGGTCTCCACCACTATCGTGAGCCTGCTCCCTAAACCTGAGGGCGGGGATTGCCCTGATCGCCCAGTTGCCAATTTCGCCACGTGGATTCGGCTTCTTACGTGGTGGTTCCGTTCGACCAATGGAAAGCGGTGGTCTGATTCTAATCGCAGGCCGTACGTTTATGGTATTACGGGCGTTTCGAGCTTGCACTGCGTCCGGAAACATTTCCTTCTAGCTGAATATGCTGGCTCGAAGGGCCTTGATGTATATGTAATGTTATTGGATATTGCCAAGGCATTTGAACATGTTCTCCACCACATTCTGGTTCGACGTGCCTTGGATCTTGAATTCAACGTGTTTCTGCTCAAGTTCCTGCTTGCTTTGTACCGCGGTCCGCGTGTCATCGTTGTGGGTTTCGTTCCAGGAGAACTCGTTCACGCTGCGCAAACAATCGTGGCTGGTTGTGCAGTCGCAGATCTTCTAATGCGGTGCGTGCTCATTGAAGATTTGGTCATATTGTTGAAATTCATCGCTTTGTGTATCTGGGTCTAGTGGCTGATGATGTCCAGGCCTTTGGTATAGGGACAAAGAGGTTTTGCCGTGAAGCCGCCCCCCTAGCAGCGAACGCGCTGCTAGCCTGGCTTCGAGACCATGCCCACCTCCCCCTGTCCATCCCGAAATTCGTTCTCATGGCCTCTGATGATGACGTGGGGGATGCGTTGGCTTCGGTCCCCCAGCTAGCGCGGGCCCGCCGACGTGAAACTCGACATATTGGGGTGGACTTCGCTGTGAGAGCTGGCCTCGGCCTCAAGAGACGCGTCATGAAGTCTAGACTTAAGAGGGTCCGTGCTCGTGCGGGTCGGGCTTGCAATGTGGCCAGAGGGATGCGGGGGGACAAATCGTCCCCCTCCCCCGTTACCTTGGCAGACTCGTGAATTATGGTTTGAGCCTTGCTGCCCACTCTGGAACTTCCATCGCTGGCCTCACTTGCGCTCAATTCCGGGACGTCCGGGCCATTTTTCACACCGCCTTAGGTTCTCGGCCCTGCAGGTCACTTACTATAGACATGGCCCTCACGTGCAACGCGCGTGATCCCGTGGCCACCGTGCACCACGACACCATCCTCATGTGGCATTCTTGTCGGTGGGATTCGATTGTACCGCGTGCCAGTATGGATCACACAATGCAGCACGCTATTGATACAGTTTCTCGGACTACTCCATGGAGTTCATTGTCTGGTCCTGCGGCAGTGGTGGTTGCATCGTTGCTCCGAGTCGGCTGGTCGTGCGCGTCCCCGACTGAGTGTGTAACTCTTGCTGCCGACCGCCTTATAGTCACGGATTTTGCTCCCCGTGATGTTGCGCACTTGGTTTTGCATTTTGCGTTGCAGTGGTCTTGGTCCCAGGCCTCTCAACGACGCGAGCAAATGTCTCATCTTGACCACCCTCCCTTCCTGAGCCCCATCTGTCGTCTTCTTGCCGAGGGCGGCGTCGAGGATTTTGGCACGCGGCGGAATGCTGGGCTCCAAGCTTTGCTGGCGGGAGCTTTGTTTCACCGAGGGCCATGCCCTCTTTGTTCTGCATTTTGCCCCCCTCTCCCCGGAAGCACCTATGTTTCGAGGGTGGCCGGGTATCGCCTTTTCGGGCAGGTCTCCCGCATCATGCTGAGCTTATTATGGCTTATTCTCAGAATCCTGACAGCCCTCTTTGGGGGGGCGGGCTCATGCCTGATCCTGCGTACCTCCTTCCCCTCCCCTCCATAAGCTCTCCCACGAATGGGCCCTTCTAGGCCCCCGCGAGCGCGTCTTCACTTCTCCAGCTTTCGGGGGCGGATCTGGATTTGATGCTGACTCCCATTGTGCTGCCAGGTGTGGTTGGGGAGTCGTATGCCTAGACGCCCGGAACCGCGTTCAAGTCGGAGCGTGTGGCTCTTTCCCCTTTCCTGTGCAATCTGTGCCGGCAGCTGAGCTGTTTGCATTCCACAGCGACTGCCACTGGGTAGTCGATTCATGGCTTAAGCCCAAAGGCCAAACATGTGTAGGAGGTGCTGTCCATTGCGATTTATGGTCCGAAGTGCATGCCGAAGCCGAGGACACCAGGTATGACCGAATTCGCGTGGTCAAGGTGGCCGCTCACCAGTCTCTTGATGGCCTGTATGGTCGAGATTTGTTTCTTGCCAGCGGCAACTCCCCTGCAGACGCATTCGCGAAGAGAGGCGCGCGGATGCACCCTCAGGATTCACGCGCCGAGACGCGGATCCAGCAAGCCGAGTTGCTGATTCGGAGCCTTGCTATTTACCTTGGTAGGGTGAATGCGTAGTATCTGTCTCGGGCTCCGAAGTGGCTCCGAGATCCTTGGTTTGTTCCTCCGGTTACCTTGGTGGGCCCAGCTGAGGGCACCCCTCACTTTGTAGCGCACGACCCTGCCACCAACATATATAGGTGCACATATTGTTGGTCCTCCAGTAAGCACCGATGGGAGCTTGCAAAGCAGCCGTGCCACGTTCTGCGACGAGTGGGGCAATTTGCATTATGCCGTCAATGTGGCGCCCACTCGTCGACCAACGTCTCCCACCGTGAGGCAAGAGACCTTCTTCTGACATTCGAAAATATCGCCTCCAGCTTTTGATGGACGGGCGACACCCTAGGACATGAACCAAAATTGGTGATGTCCGCCTTGTGGGAATGGCCTTTCAAGGTAACTTTGTATTTGCCCCTTACAGGGGTCCTTGATGCATGGTTTTCCTCTTGCTCTTGGCTTCGTGGGACGCGCCGGTCTCGTGGCGCGCCATATCCAGAATCCAGAAGCCCTCCCCCACCCCTCGCCCTCTTTTCCCCTGCCGTCTCCCCTCCCCTCCACTCCCCTCCCCGCCCCGCCCCGCCCCGCCTCGCCCCTCCCCTCCCCCTTCCCCGCCCTCCCCTCCCCTGCCCTCCCCTGCCCTCCCCTGCCCTTCCCCTCCCCTCCTTCCCTTCCCTTCCCTCCCCTCCCTCCCCCTCCCCTTCCCTCCCCTCCCTCCTTCTTCCTTCCTTCCCTCCCCCCTCCTTCCCCCCTTCCCTCCCATCCCCTTTCCTGCCGCCTCCCCTTCCCTCCCACTCCCTCCCTCTCCCTCCCCTCTCCCCCCTCCCCCTTCTCCTCCCCCTTGCGCCTCGCTCTCCGCGTCCCCTCCCCTTCTCTGCTGCCTCAATCCCGACGATGTTTGTGTTCTGTTTCGATTCGGCGCTCGTGCTCGATCTCGGCATCTGGGCCCCGCCGTCAGGCCCCGTGGCCATCGGAGGCGGATCGGGACGACGGGCTGCCCCTGTGCAGGGGGTCGGGGCATGTGGGGCCGCGCGCTCAAAAAGTCCATATCGTCGGGGTTGCCCCTTTGGAGAGGGTTGGGGCCTTTGGGCCGCGCGCTCAAAAAACCAGGTCGTCGGATATCTGAGGAGGCAGTGGGCAGATACGGGAGCAGGACCCAGAGCCCCGACGTCCTGGCTTGGGGACCAGTTTCTTTCATGCTGAGTAGTTTTATGACGGCCCCGAGGCCCGGTGAGGGTCCTCGGAGACCAGAGATGGCGAATCATGTACCGTCGTGCCTTTTTCTCACTACACGAGGGGGTCTGGGGACGACGCACTGGTTCTGGCCACCATACCGAGGGGGATAAGAGGCCCCCCTCGTCGCCACGGCTCGGCGCGGCTCGGACCCTTGGTCAGGTTCACCCCCGAGGGGGGCCCGGGGACTGATCTTGAGCGGATTTGCCTTCATCCCCCCTCTTGACCGATTTCTCTGGGCTCAATTATCCAGCTCTGACGGGACATTCCGACATCACCCCTCAAGGGAGAGAGAGTGAGCTCAGACTCTCGGGGGGAAGGGCCGACGGCAGCCCGCCGTTTGGAAGGTTAGGGGCGTTTTTTTTGGGAGGGTGGAGGGGAGGGTAGCCAGGAATGCGTTTGGAGGGTTCGGGGCGTGGTTTCAGGTTTTCCAGGTGCCCCAGCGTTTGACGGGTACCCAGTGCCATGGAAAGCTGCTGACGTGGCTCGAGCTGCGCCGACTGATTCGTAGCTATTTCGGCTCAAGCCATGTTGATTCAGGCCGGCTTGCTTCAAGCCAGAGCTGATGGCGACGGTTGACATCACGGCTGACCACCATGGCGGCGTCGTTGGAGCATTTTTGTTTGGGAGCATGGACAGGGCCCACAACATGCCAGCTTCGCCCGAACATGGCAGGAGGGAGCATGCCGTGGTCATTCAAGCGGTAAGTGATGCCATCGAAGAGAATGGCAGATCGGCACGTTAGCTTACAAAAAGCAGATGTCTACTCGCAGTGAAAATCCTCTTGTCACCGATTGCTGTCGGATTTCTGCTCTTCGAGCGGCACAGCCAGTAAAAGGGGTTTCAGATGATGTGAACGCGGCTTTACGGCCTTGGTGGGAAGGCAAGGGGCTTGAAGTACAGGTCATACTTGGTGTACCACCTACCAGCAAAGGTCCACCCGGTTCGGGTCGATACGGTGGTTCTAGGTCTCCGTCCGCAATTCGTGTCATCATTGCTTGCGTAGTGGGGTGTGCGGAGTGAAGTGTCTCTTGCCTTGCAAACAACCTGGGTGCTTTCGTCAAGACTGAAGAGCTGTTCCGACCGGTGACTCCGCGATGTGCGTCGCCGTGGGCAGCAGCCGACCCACGCCGCCGAGCGCGCTGCCCCATGCGCGATCGCGCAGGAGGGGCTCCGGGTGAGCTTGTACATGACCAGGGCTTCCCCAGTAGGGTTGTCCGTTTGTGGGGGACCCGTTGGGGATCCCCAGGCGATCCGTCGTCAGCCCCCCCTCCCTCTCCCGCCTTCGCCCCCTGCCCCACTCGAACTTCCCACCGGAATTTCTTTCGGGCGCTGCCTTCGGCGGCGCCTACATGGGCGCCATCGTCCCAGGGCACAATGTGGCACCAGAGAGATTCGCGGCTTCGCTTAAGTACCTTTTACAAACATGTGAAGTTGTTGCGCGGCATCGAGTGCCACGACACGGAGCAGTGGGCCGTCGTCGACCGCGTGCGCGTCGTGCGCCCGAACGGGCGCAGCGAGACATCTCATGTACAGAAAGGCGTGCAGTGCCCCGACCGCTTGTGGCCCGAGGTGCGCGACGGCATCCTGGACAGCGCCCATGCTTCCGATCGGGGGCGCTGCCGCGCATGCTCGTGGGCCCGGGTGTGGCGCATGCGGCGGACAGGCAAAGGCTTAGGCCTGCTCCAAGAATTTGGCCACGCCGTGCGCGCGATCCGAGACGGTTCGCTTTCAGCAGTCGCATCTGGAGTGCAGCCCGCCCGCACGCAGAGAGCGCGGGCCGCGGCCGTCCGTGTGCAGTTTGGGCAGCCCCGTACGTCTTCATGGACAGAATCGTGCAAACCGCCCAGGCCTACATCGAGCTTGCTTCGGAAGAAGGAGGAGGAGGAGGGGGAGGAGGAGGAGCAGGAGGACGAGGAGGAAGAGAAGGAGGAGGAGGAGGAGGAGGAGGAGGAGGAGGAGGAGGAGGGAGGAGGAGGAGGAGGAGGAGGAGGAGGAGAGGAGGAGGAGGAGGAGGGGGAGGAGAGGAGGAGGAGGAGGAAGGAGGAGGAGGAGGAACGCCCAGCCGTCGAACTTCGGCCTCGGGCGCCCAGCACCGCCCTCGCCACCCTTCCGGGCGGGGCCGACAGGCGATCGCCGCGCCCGTGCTGTCCGCGGAGGACGGGTTCCTGGCCCCTGGGGGCTCCTGCGGGCCCGTGCTGCACCGCAGGCTGCTGCTGCTGAGGAGCCGCGGCGTCGCCGCCTTTCCCTCCTTCCCTCCCTTTCTTCCTCTCCTTCCCCTCCCCTCCCCTCTCCTCCCCTCCCCCCTCCCCTCCCCTCCCTTCCCCTCCCCTCCCCTCCCCTCCCCTCCCCTCCCCTCCCCTCCCCTCCCCTCCCCTCCCCTCCCTTCCTCCCTCTCGCACTCCTTCCTTTTTCAGAGGAGGACACGCGATGTTGCCGCCTCCCCTCGGAGAGCGCCGCGTGTGCGCCCTCTGGCGTGGCGAGGAGGGTCTGCGCCGATAGTGGGCCCAGGATGAGCCTGGCCAGGGTCGGTGTAGGTGTATAGTTGGTGCCCTTCGATCTTCCTGACTCCCCCCTCTCCCTCCCCTCCGATCTCCCTCCCTCCCTCCCCTTGGACGTCGCCTTACCGATTCCCATCTCCATTGGGCAGTGGCATCTCAGCCCCATTTGGTGTCACACCCAGGTGGATACATAGGCCGAGCGATTCCCGAAAGGAGCGGCACACCGTCTGCACACAGTCTGCGGTACAGGTCTTTGGGAACCACGCCGTGAGACAGACACGCGAACGATCCAGCTCTCTGGGAGCCACGTTGTGCGACACAACCACGACGTCGGAAGTATGGGTCCCTCCTTCCCCTCCCTTCCGTGCCCTCCCCTCCTCCCTCCCCCCCTTCCCTTCCTCCCCCACCCCCTCCCCCCTCCCTCTCCCCTCCCCTCCCTCCCTCCCCCCCTCCCTCCCCTCCCTCCGTCCCCTCCCCCTGCCCCCCTGCCGCCCCCCCCCCCTCCCTCCCTTTCTCCCTCCCCTCTCTCCCCTTCCTCCCTCCCTCCCTCCCTCCTCCCCCCCCTCCATCCCTCCCCTTCCTTCCGCCCCCTCTCCCCTCGCCTCCCTCCCTCCCCCTCCTCCCTCCCTCCCTCCCCCCTCCCTCCTCCCTCCCTCCCCTCCCGCCGTCTCCTCCCCCCAGATCTCCGACAAGGCCATCTCTTCAACGGGGGAAATGGTGCCGCTGCCGCTGCCCTCCCCCCGTTTTCGCACATGCTTCGGCCTCCTCGTGGGCCCCGCGCGGCCACGGCCGGATTTCTGCCGCTGCGACATGGCTCTCGTCGGAGCGCACGCCGGGAGGTGTCTTCGGAGTCTCGGTCTGCGTATCTGCGTTCCCTCCCTGCCTGCATCCCTCCATCCGCCGTTGAACCCCTTCCAGCCCTCCATTCCTCCTTCCGGGGAGGGGGTATCGGGTATCCATATCCACCGCCTGGGGCATCGATCTTCGGGGACCTCGGCAAGCGGTGGATATGGGTTCATAGTTGGGGCCCCCTTTGGCCAAACTGTATTCGTGTCCACCGCCCGCTGGGATCCCAGGACGTGGGTTCCCCAGGCGGCGGATGTGGACATATCCCGCCTCGCACTCCCTCCATCCCCGCCATTCCTCCATTCCTCCCCCCCCAGATCTCCGACGAGACATTTCCTAACCGATTCTCCCTTGGTTGGGTTCTATTTTTAGCAGTGGTGTCTCCGCCGCCTCGCACCCCCCCGCTCTCCTCTCGGCTCCCTCCTCTCGCCATCCTTGCGGGGCTGCGAAGTGTGAAACCCTCGCCACATTCGAGGGCTGCTGGGGGGGTAGCACAGTGGGGTCCCACGCAGATCCAAACGGAACCTCGCCATCCCTGGGGAGGGGGAGTCCACGCAGATCCAAACGGGATCTCGCCATCCCTTGGGGGGCTGCGAAGTGTAATTGTCGCCACTTTCGAGGGCTGCTGGGGGGGGCCAGCACAGTGGGGTCCCACGCAGATCCAAATGGGACATCGCCATTCCCGGGGATGGGGCTCCAAAGTGTGAAGCTGTGGACACTTTCGAGGGCTGCGCGGGGGCCAGGACAGTGGGGTCCCACGCAGGTCCAAACGGGACCTCGCCATCCCCGGGGAGGGGGGCTGCGAAGTGTGAACGCGTCACCACTTTCGAGGTCTGCTGCTGGGGGGGGGTGCAGCACAGTGGGCTCCCATGCAGATCGTCGTCGGCTTCGTCGTCGTCGTCGTCGTCGTCGAACACGTCGTTGTCGACGTCGTCGCCGCTGCCGCCGCCGCCGTCTCAGGAGGGACAAAAAACACAGACACAATTCATCGTCGATCCCCCAGAAAGTATGGGCAACTATGGGAAGTGGGGGGGGGGAAGGCAAAAACCCAGAAAATAGGGTAAGATATAGGGGAATCCTGTTGTTTGTGCGTATTTAATTGTGTGCCCCAGGGCCCCCTCGCCGCCGCCGTCGACGCCGCCACCGTCGCCGTCGTCGCCGAGCTCTGCCGAGAGCCGCCCCGGTTGGCCGAGGAGCCTCGCGGGCTCGCGCCCTCGTGGCGTGCGCCGTGCGGGCAGCGCTCGTCCTCCCTGCGGCTGGGCGGCCCGACTTTCTCCGGCCTGGGGTTGCGATGTTCCAACCTACACCTTGGGCGATGCTTAAGAAAACTTACGTTTTCGGCCAGAGTCTCGATTATTCTTAATGTTTCAATGTAAATCCGAAGATTTCAATAGAAATTAATTTTTGTTATTCAAATTCTGAGACTCTGAGTTTCTAAACCCATGATTTCTTAAGCATTTCGCAAAGTGTACTTTCGCCTTGATCACCAGAAAGAATGTCGAGCACCAGAAGAACGTACCGAAGTTCTAGGATTTTCACGCGCTGGGCCCTGGGAGACACTGGTCCGACGCTGTCTCGACACTGTTTCGACACTCTTTCGACACTTTTCCGGGTGCTCGAAATTATTTCTGGGATGTGGTCCGTACGATGGGGACAGCATAAGCCTAGGGTTACGTCGGGCCTGTTTCTCTACAGGAGAAATAATCCAAAATAGTCAAAAATAGTCTGGGGACTATTTTTTGAATACTTTGGGGCATCTTTTGAGCATGTTTTGAGTATGTTTTCTCTTTCGTCCAAGATCCCCCCGAAGGGGGACAGGCCCGACCTCAGCCTAGGCTCTTCCCTCCGCTGGGAGGAGGACCCGCAGTCGGCGCGGCGGTGCCGTTTGGGGACGCCTGGGAAGCGCCCCGAGGCGGCAGCGGCAGGCGCGGGCGATCGCCGTGGCTACCCAGCAATAGCACGGAGATGCCAGCCGGCGTGTCTCCCACGGGTGGCTGGGATGCTGGGTTGGCGCTCAGGGCGAGGGCCGGTGCCCCGTCGCCCCGCCGAGTCCTCAGCGCCCGGCAGGCCCGCGCACCTTCTGCCAGAGCGCCTCAAGCTTGAGCTCGCCCTCCTCGACCTTCCACACGGTCTCCTCCTCCAGAGTGACGCCGTCAGGGAAGGCGCTGGGCGGGATCAGCTCGAGCCACCGGGCTGCCTTCCAGCAGCCGCCGTCCTTGATGGAGGGGCAGGTGGCTTTGAGCCTCTGCATCGGGAGGTCCGCGGCTTTGAGCCGGTCCCCTCGGAGGATGTGGTCGATGGCCTCGGCGACAGCTTGCATTTAGGGAAAGTGGGCGGATGGTTCGGAAGGAACCCGTGCAGGAGGTGCCGCAACATGATGGGGTCGAGGTCGCCGCCGTGGCCCACGTCGTGCAAGATGTGATCCTCCGTGTGTTGCTTCAGCCCATTCGTCAAGAGCTTCCCCGGCTGCTTCTCCGCGATCCTCGGGTATTTCGCCCGCCGGGTGCGCAGCCTGCGGTCCTGGGTCGGAGGCACGGCGCGCGGCACGGCGCGCGGCACGGCGCGCGAGCACGGCGGGCGGGGGCTCTCTGTCTCTGTGTTTGTCGCGCTCTCCAGGAACACCAGGCGCGGCGCGGCGCGGCGCGCGGGCGCGGGCGCGGCACGCGGGCGTTTTTTTGTTGTTGTCTTGTTTTTTTTTTGTTGTTGCCCCAATCAGAGCTTGCCCCTGTAGGGGTCCTAGCGCATTCATATGGTGAGGTTAGGTTTGCCGCCGATTTTCGCCGCACGCCCGGGTGCCCAGGGGTGCTCGAGTGCCCGGGGGCCCGGGGGCCCGGGGGTGCCCAGGTGCCCGGGTGCCCGGGTGCCTTGGTGCCCGGGTGCCCGGGTGCCCGGGTGCCCGGGTGCCCAGGTGCCCGGTAGCTCTATATAGCCCTATAGCCCTGTAGCCCTCTGGCCCTAATAGCCCTATAGCCTGATAGCCTTATAGCCCTATAGCCCTATAGCCCTACAGCCCTACAGCCCCATAGCCCTACAGCCCCATAACCCTATAGTCCAATAGCCCTATGGCCCTGTAGTTCCGTAGCCCTATAGCCCAGAGCCTTCTAGCCCTATAGCCTTCTAGCCCCATAGCTCTAACGCCCTAAAAAGAGTTTTTTTTCTCCGGTATCATTTTTTCGCATGCCATATAAAAAGGCACGGCACGGCAATGCACGAGGAGGAGGAGGAAGAGGAGGAGGAGCAGGAAGAGGAGGAGGAGGAGGAGGAGGAGGAGGAGGACCAGTGTAAACCTAAGAGTCATCAGCGATGTTGGAATAACCCCCCACTCCAAGCTCTCTTCACAGGCCCCATACAGGGGTTCATTTCTGCTGAGGGAGATGCTTCGTTGGGAAACACCCGTTTGAAGACCTTGAAGCATGCCAAAAGACCATTTTCGGGACTCAAACGCCACGAATCAACATGACTGTTGCGTCTTGACGATCCGGAATCATGCCAGAACACGATTTCTTAGACCCCCGCGAATCAACGTAACTATTGCGCTCTCACGATCATGAGAAAATCACTTCTGGCACGTTGACCGTGGGAATCCGTGAAATTATGGCAAATGTTTAAGACGAGTGTCCGCGGCGTTAAGGCGAGCTCCACATTTTGAAAAGAACCCGCCCGCAATATGTGAAGCTCTTGCAAATTTGTTTTAAATGAGAGTGCGCGGCGCCAGAGCGGGAACTGCATTTTGAAAACGACTCATTTTGAGTCCTTGAAGCTCTTGCGCATTTGTTAAATCGAGTATGCGCGGTGCTAAGGCGAGCTCTGCATTTTGAAAACGACCCGTCCTCAATCCGTGAAAGTCTATTTTTACATTTATACAAAGTGTGCGCG